ACGCTTTATCTGTACTCGGTTTTCGGTAAGGAATTCTTACGATTTTCTAAAGTTGTTGGTGAGGATACTTTCATTTTGTATGGAAATGTATAATGAAAAAATTCGTTGATTGAACTCACTGTCAAACAACGGCCGATTCCCGTTGTTCTGCACCAGTTTGGCGTTATTACGATGTTCATGTTGAGGCTGTCCATGAGAGAGCATGTCTCTTTATTTTCCAATACTATAGATAATGGAAGTCTCCCCAACGATGTTGTCTTAAGAGATTCATTGAAACCCAGTTACGCTTCTATTTATTACGTTCGTAGATGAGCAGAATAAAGAAAGAGGAAAAGTGCTGGTAAATCTTAATCTACGCGAAGAAAAGTTGGCTTTCGAGGAATCTTTTGTTTCATAATTGTTGAGCTTACTTCCATTTCGAGTGAAAGTGTTGCGTTAAGAGATTCGAAGGTCGGTTCCACCAGAAGACGACGGCGGATTCCTCTTGAGCTTGCAGAGCACAGGCCAGAAACGGGACACGAGAGTGAATGGTCTCAAACTTGTCGTTTTGCTAATTATGTTATGTTTGCGGCTAAACGTAAAATCAAAGAAGCCATAGAAATAAACCGAATAGGAGATACCTTGAATGTAAGGAATACCGACAAGAAGATAAGTAAAAACTATTTGTGTTTAATTAACAAACTGAAGGGCAGAGAGGGAGTTGAGCTGACTGTAAAAAGGAGGCGACGCAACTAGTCTTTTCTTGTTTTGGCTCTAATGATAGTCAATTCTCTGTACCTTTAGCTCACTGTTTCTCTCTCGCATTGAGAGCAAAAACAAAAAGTAGGCTTATCAACAAAACCAGACCCTGCGCAATCGGAGTAATGGTTATAACTTAAATGTAGAAAGGGGCAGATAGGGTCATCAAACCTTGATGGCAAAAACAGACGTTCCTTTTTGCTGTCCTAATTACTTTGAGCCATCACTTCAGGTTTCGTGCATAAGCGAACACAAACATGCACATACAAATACAGAGACAGAGACATTCACAGACTTCGAGGTTGACATGTGACCGTAACTAACCAAATCACTTTATGACGGACGAAAGCTTAGCATCTTTTCACCGGAATCAAAGGAGATTGCCTCGGAAGCAGTGTCCGCATGAATATTACAGTAAAGCCAATGGACAGCTGGTCAAGAGGAATCCTCCGTCGTCTTCTGGTGGGACTGACCTTCGAATCTCTTTACCCAAAACTTTCGCTCGAAATGGAAGTAAGCTTAACAAATCTCAATGTGTCGTACAGTGAAATTTCGATAAACGGAACAATGAAGGCTTTTAAGTTAACCTTGGATCAACATACTGAGATCACATGTAAAAATTTAGATAATGATTCAATAATCAGATTAGTCATTTTGGCCATTAACAGTACATAGTTCGCCTTCAATGGCAAGTCGTTTGAGCAAATATGTGGTTTGGCTATGGGATCTTGTTTAGCCTCTATTTTAGTTAATAACAACATGGCTCAATTAGAACTTGCTGTTTTTCAAGAGGTACTCTTAGTACCAAAGTTACTAATTCGGTGTACGGACGATTACTTTGCTGTCTGGCAACACGACAAAATAGATTGGTTGAATATTGTGACATGAGTCTCCATTTCCAAGTGAAAGTTGCTTTGAATGAATTTATGACGTGGGCTCACCGGAAACCGAAGGAGGATTGCGACGTAGAGAAGAATGTTGAAGAAGTCCTCGGCTCACTGTCGT